AAACAGATATCTGGCCAATATGTTTTATGTCTGCCTCTCTTACAGATTATATCAACCATCCTTTACTGAACTAAAAAACAGATATCTGGCCAGTATGTTTTATGTCTGCCCCTCTTACAGATTATATTAACCATCCTTTACTGACAAACAGATATCTGGCCAGTATGTTATATGTCTGCCTCTCTTACAGATTATATTAACCCTCCTTTACTGAACTAAAAAACAGATATTTGGCCAGTATGTTTTATGTCTGCCTCTCTTACAGATTATATTAACTCTCCTTTACTGATCTAACAAACAGATATGTGGCCAGTATGTATTATGTCTGCTTTTCTTACACATTATTTTAACCCTAATTTACTGAACTAGCAAACTGTTATGTAGCCAGTTGGTTTTATATTTGTCTCGCTTACAGATTCTCTTAATCCTCTTTTACTGACTGACAAACAGATGTATGGCCAATATGTTTTAGTGTCAAAAACAATACATAACAGAAATACCAGTTTAAAAAAGTAATGAATATAATAAAATCATATACTGAAAATACATTCAGGCTATGTTCAAAACTTTCATTATGGTATTATTTTTATTACAAAATATCTTCTTGACTTGTTGTGCCTTTTGTGTATGTTCTCAGTTTGACGCTTTAAGAACCAACAGTAATCTCCCATCATCGCAGGATTCCATCGTCTTTGATATCGCTGTTCCATTGCAGATACCACACTACTTTAATTACACTTGATAACAAAAAAATGTCTACTGGAGAAACTCAAGTGATTCGGGGTAATTTGATGGTTATGATTTCAAAAATATAGTTAGGACTTGTTCATTGCCTTTAGATTTTAAGTTATTATAATATCGCAATAGTTTATCAGCATTATGTGAAATACCATGCAATCAACTCAGTAAAATAGATTTATGTTGTGAAATTAAGTTTACCTGGAGAGTTTAATGGGCAAAAGGCATATATTTTTGGTAACTTCAAACGATGACTGTATTGTATTGGTGTAGAATTCCAAATATATTGTTAATATATGCTATTTGTCCCCTATATAATTGTAGTGAGTTGCACCACTTTTGCTTCATTCCCACGCTCACCTGCTCCGCCCGGGAATCAAGAAACCTTCAGTTTGCTAGAATATTCGAGAAGTCCCTCGATTGAGCATAAAAGAGGCGGAGTTAGACGGCTCTCTCTCAGTTGCTTCGCACTCACTCAGTTGATCACTTTGCCTCGCTCTGTGCACAGTCAAAATAAAGTCCGATCTTTTTCTTCGCATCATACCCACGATACAATCAAATTCTGCAAAACTTAGTTTTTTTTAATCTTTTAAACTCTAGTTTCAGAAAATCATTTGAAATGCTGGCTGCCCCCAGTTCAAGTAAAATGCAAAAATCACCCAAACACTTTCTGCTACATTTGTGGAAAATATATTACAGTTTTAGGAAGGAAAAATAACACACACACATGGTAAAGGTAGCTTACTAACACTATTTTGGGTGTATAATTGGTGATCAAGAAAAACATTGGACTCTACATGTGCGTTGTACACTTTGCACATCTGGCTTTACACAGAGGTCGAATAAGAAGAGAGCAATTATGCCATTTGTACTTCCCATGATATGGCGTGATCCTAAAGATCATCTAACTGACTGTTATTTTCGCATGACTAATGTTTATATATATTCAGAAAAAAAACAATACATTAAATATCCAGATATTGCATCTGCAATGAAAGCAGTGTCTCATGAAGATGGTTTTCCAGTACCACATTCACCAGCAAATTGGAAAACAGAAGAGTTATCCTGCGAAAAAGACAATGAATCATCTTCATTCTTTTCATCTAGTAATTCCATTCCTGTGGCACCTAAACTGCCTCATCTAATCACACAAGATGAGTTAAATGATCTAATTCGTGATTTGCCTCTATCACAGCAGCATGAGGAACTTCTTGGCTCTAGTTTACAGCAATGGAATTTATTAGCTCCAGGAACAAGAGTTTCAGTTTACTGAAGTCGCCATCAAAGTCTTGCTTCTCACAACAGCATGCAAGATACTTTGTGTTCCTGTACAAATGTTGATATACTAGTGGAAGAATTAGGTACTGAACAACATCCTTAACAATGGAGACTTTTTATTAACTAATCTAAAGTTAGTAATAGTTTCAAATATCTGTCTGACAATTTTCTAACAATCAGTGAAGCAAAAATGAAAGAAGATATCTTTGTTGGGCCACAGATCCGAGAAGTGCTGATCGATGATGATTTTGAAACATTATTCAACCAGAAATCATTCAAACCGGTTGTCAAAAACTTTCTTAGGAAATCACAGAGACGAAAACTATGCTGTGATGATTGAGAACTACAGGAAAATGGGGTTTAGGATGCATTTCTTACATTCTCATTTAGACTTCTTTCCAGATGATCTAGGTGCAGTGAGCGATGAGCATGGTGAACGCTTCTACCAAAGTCACATTAACTAGTCACTTATATAACACAAGTACAAACATCAACTAGTCACTTATATAACACACATACATACATCAACTAGTCACTTATATAACACACGTACATACATCAACTAGTCACTTATATAACACATGTACATACATCAACTAGTCACTTATGTAACATATGTACATACATCTATGTAATAACTTTGCAACCTGAAAATCTATACTTTCAGAAAACACCAGAGATAAAGATCCAATTAAATCATCCAAAAACTATTGCTAAAGTAGAGAACCAGTGAATAGCTTAACAACCAAATGTTCTGCTGACTATTCTGATTCTAGCATCAGAAGGACTAGCTCACCAATGATTGAAGTTGTTGCAATGACTTACACACCAAAATGTTGCATTTTAACTTTGGAGTGCAGAAGTTTCACTAACTTCAACACATGATGTCCGTCAACACAACTCATCACGCTAGGCTAAAAGTGCTGCTTTCATAGCGACTGCCATCCATTATAAAACATTCATTCGTATTGTAAAAAAGAAGAGAGGAACCAAGTAAAACATAAAAGTTTGAAAAAATATGGATGTTGAAGGGATGGCAATGCCAAAAAGTACAGAAACAAATGAGGTAGGAATGAATACACAAAACCATACAAAAATCCCTACATAAGTAGCCACTGGGTCAATGTTACAGGCTTATGGGAATTAGCCATTGTAAGACTTTATAACATTATTAAGTTTGAATGCTTTTATTCAAACCTGAATTCATGCAAATGAAAGGAGAGAGAGATCTGGGGTAAACCATAGTTACCAACGTCCTGTTTGGATATGATATCTAGAGAGAGAGACAGAGAGAATCTATCGCAGATGTCCTTCTCACCTTTCTTGTAACATCCAGGAATGAGATAGGAGTCTTGAACGAACACGTGACTGTTAGAACAAGCACACTTTCCAGTCACACACGTTAAAGATGTATCACCACCCGACATCCACTCACACTGCACGTCATTCTGGCAGGGTTCCCCTGGATTGGCTGAAAAAAAAAGTATTTTCCTTGACTGTCGTTATGTTTTTTTTCAATGTTTTCCTAATTTTATTTTACATGAGTTACTAGCGTTACGATAATCACGCAAAGTTGATAATAAACTATTAATAAGAATTTACATTTGCTGATTTTCCCCCTAAGTTTACTTCTAAGACATCTCTGAAATGTTAAAGAATGTCTTAATTTTATCTAGTTTTTAAATTAAAATCATTACTCAATTCTATTTTAAAATGAGCTATATATATATATATACAATGTTTTAATCACAAATCTTTGTGTTATTTTTAGATTCAATGATGATTTTTAATATTTGACATTATATTAATTATTTAAAGTTGTACATGTGTTATATAAGTG